AAGTTCTTATCTTTACGCATTCCTATCACATGTTCGGTCACACATTCTGATTACGATTTCTTTGGAGCTCCTCTGGGAAATAGGTGTGCCATTAAATAAAATTAAAAATGAATGTGCTCGTATAGGGTGAGCAGATAGGAATGAATAAGCAACAACCTCTACCAACTCCAAAGAAAAGAAGAAGCAACCTTGTTGTAGTTGGGAGTATCGAAGCAGTCGAGATCGGTTCTGCGTCGAACTCATGCTAAACGCGGACATGATTCGACGATATATTGGGCTGGTATTACGGAGACAAGCAGTGAGCTTGTTGGAGCTCAAACAAAATATAAACGCCGTGATTAAAAGCCAATTCTGACTCAACGAGGATAATACCAGAGGCAAGGATCATTACGGGGGGTTGGAAACGTCTCTTTCGGCTTTGTAACCGCTGAAGCGAGTTTTGGCCGAGCTCATTATCCAATTTGTGGGGTCGCGTCTTGATATCTTTCCAACAAATGGAGGGATGCACAGTTTATGCCAAGCCGTCTCCGTACGGCTGATGATTTTTTATGAGGAACATTGATTTTTCATGTCAGAAATATACTCGGAGTGATTGCCATTCCCTGTCGAGGGGCAACCGTAGTTAGAAAATTTAACTTAATTTTTTATAATTTTTGCATGTTAGTCGGACGAGGACTTGAACCCTTGCTTGATACCACTTTCCGCTGTCTGAATTTGACTATAAAACGATCTGTTTATTGAAGTAAGTCACAAACAAATAGCGTCAGATGCCGCTAAGCATTTGCAGTGTGTGAAGATGAGTCGATGAAATTTGGATTATGGAGGGTTGAAGCGTTGGGAAACTATCACTTACGGTCCGGCTCCCAACCTCTACTTTAAACTAACCAATCAATAAGGGAACCACCTAACCCACCATCTTATAATTGCCTTCCTCAAACGAAGGAGCATAGGAAACTCACGGGGTAACCTGTGGTTCGAAGTTGTTGGTAAACTGCAGTGTGGCATGAAGACTAAACTCCATATTTCGTACAAAAGTATGATGTGAGAGAACTTTCACGGTACTGTCTTTGTTGAAATTTCGGGCAGTACATCGGGATCTCGCTGGGAATTGAGAAACTCCACAAATCGTACATTAACTCCATTCTACTTTATAGCGCAGAAGCATAAACGATGACAACATCTAAGAAACTGAATGTAGCTGATTTCGGTAGTAGATTTTGTGATGATATTATGATCCACTTTGTAAAGCGATGGCTGGTACTACTAGCGTTGAAACTATAAGGCCAATTCGTTCAAATGGATAAAAAATGTTTTTAATAGCGGACGAAGCACTATCAGCCGGTGGAGGTAGTTAGATAGTCTGCTCAAACACGATATTCCTTTTCCCAGTGTGATAACTAGTCTATAGAAGAGATTCGTCTCACCTAGATGCTGAAACCGCTAGATTTGTGTAATGACACTCACCAGATTATTGATACTTGTTGATGCTGTATCTGCAAGGTAGTCAAAGTAAAAATTATCGGGGAACGTTTTCGGGCCCTTCTTTGAGCGGGGAAAAAGAAGATTTCTATGTCCCTGCAGCCGCGATAGAAGTCATTAGAGAAGCAGCTCATCTTTCTACTATGAATCCACGTCAAAAAGTGGAGGTTCGGACCGAAGGGAGTAGAGACTTAGTTCTTTTTGTGTCACCCTGCTATTTGCTATTTGCCTTGCTGGTGAAGGCCGATCTTAGCAAGTATTGATTAGCATCTTGCTAATAAAGCGGCTTCCGTTATTGTAATTAGCTCAGCTTGAAAGACGCAGCATTGGTTGCGAAGTCTTTTGCTCTTGTCGAAAGTAAGCGATTCTGAATGAAGTTCACACCCGACTCCCCTATCGACCCCCGCTATCGTGTTTAACCGTCAGTCTAGATGGATACGGATCTTGGAACCAAAACTGATACATTTTTCCACTAATTCCGCCTTGGGAAGTGGTGTAGTTTACCTCTTCCGAAAATGGCATTGGTTTCAGTATTGGGAATTGTCCTATGTCTCCAGGTTTCTCCCATGCTGGATTGCATTTAGCCTTACGGCGTTGCGGCTAGCCTGTAATTTCCCATACAGGTCTGTCGAGAGAAAATTAAGGAGAATTTAAAGTGATTTCGTAGAGGCTGAGGGCAGCGCTCCTATAATGAGCTGAACTTTGTCCAGCTTGCACCTGAATGAAGCTTTTTCTATTGCAGGCTACCAGATCGTGACTTCATTGTACAATACGGGTCTTATTACCGCTTTGTATAGCCAATAAACTATATGCGGCATTAGTCGCCATCTTTTACCAGTTGTAGCCTTGCAGGCGAGGGCACTATCATAGCTCTTTTACTTCTTGTAACCGTGTATCTGTTGTAGGTGAGCTCACTATCCAATATTACACATAAGTATTTCACTTTTCAGTAATGAAATCCCTCTCTGAATGAATGTGAATAGACTCGGCTCGGCTTAAGCCGTGGAGTCGACTCTTAACAGATATCACTCAAAATAAACCGAGCTCATTCTCTAGGCTAACCTTTACTAAGTCCCTGTGGGATTATTTGAAGTAGAAAAATTAAATGAAAATTCTTTATTAAGACTTTTAATTTGCTTATTAACTCTCCGTGACTGGTCACCCTATATATCACCGAATGGAAATGAATAATTATACAAAAAAAAGGCAATTAATTTTATTGGAAAATCAAAGCGACCAAATAAACCTTTGACATGATTTCTGATACCCCGAAGTTTATTGCCCCAACTCAGTTCGAAAACACATCCGCCGGTATGAGGTAAGGGACTGAGCTTGTGTACACACTATCACCCATCAGAGAGCGACTGCCCGCCAGCTCCACAATCCTGGGCAATAGCAACAATTAAATTGAATTGAGATGATTAAAATTTCAATTTTTATTCAGAAAATCCTGATTAACGCAAATGTAATCTCTGAAATCTCTCTATGCATCGCACAACCCTTACGACTTGAAACAATGCGGACTTTTCTATACATAAACAAACAAATGCAAACACTCCTACACGTACGTGTATATACATACATATATGTATGGCCATAAAAATGCCCGCATGTACGCGCACATTGCCTTTGTTTACATGCAAAACCAGTTTGGCGCAAAACAAAGCGCAAGAAATCACAATAAACTCGTCCAGGAGTTGTGGTTGTCGAGAGTGCCAACGAGACGTGTCCGTCGTCTGTCCTGTGAGTGACATGACATTCATTCGTCGACGTCTGCGGGTGGCATATCTACATGTAAGCCACACATTTGCATAGCGAAACGGAGTAGTAAGTGGCCTGTAGGGTAAGCTCCACGATTTCGGTCGAGCAATACGCCGAGGCTAATAGAAGCAAGAACAGTAATAGAGTGGAAGATTTTCAAGTTTACCCTCCATTTAGTGAAGAGTAATTCGTTTAAAGCAACTGTAAGAAGTCGAGCTCCATCGTCATACTTCCGACTCGCCCAGAAAAAAATCTACCAAGTAAAGAAGCAAAGCTTTAATGGGATCCTGTGTAATGACGAAAGACCAGATCAAAAGTTTCAATGCAACCGAAACGTTCAATTGATCTGATGGGACACTCTGAAATGGCGAAAGACCAAAACATAGGTTTGTTCTGTTTCGTTTGTCCTAATGGGATCCTCTGCAATGACAAAAGACCAGATCAAAAGTTTCAATGAACCCGAAAGGTCCGATAGATCTGATGGGACCCTCTGAAATGGCGAGAGACCAGAGCAAACGTTTTAATTAGCTTGAATTGCCCGATTGTACCAATAGAATCCGCTTACAATGGCGAAAGACTGGAGCAATAGTGTTAATTAACCTGAAAGGATCATTTTCTTCTAATATGATCCGCTTACAATGGGCAAAGATCAAAGCAAATGTTTAAATGAGCTTGAAAATTTCGATTGTTCTAATGGAAGAGACCTGAACAAAAGTCGTAATGGACCTGCATTTAGATAGATTATAATCACTTGAGGCGTAGTCTGGGTGTTTCAAAATAGCTAAGCCTTCCTTACGTTATGCAGCCAAAGCAATGTGGGTGTAGCTTTTACGGTGGCGTGAGCGTTCTCGGCACGCATCTTGCGCTGACCTTAGTCGGGTGCAGTTTTTTAAAAATGAACTACCCGACCATCTCAGTGAATTGTTTCTTTTTTAGTTGGGCAACGTCGAGAGCCAATTTTTCTATTTTTTTTTTATAAATTATGGCGTGGGCTTCCAAACTGCTTGTGACAGGATTTGTCTCATAGAACTGAATACCACAGAAAACAAGACAAATCAGAGTCTAGATTTGACGGTCCCTGCAGACGAATGGCTATCGGTGCGTGGTATGGCGCGGAAGATTTTGGATTCGAGTGCCGGTCACCATTAAAAATTATAGAAAAAGTTTTCTAAATGCGATTGCCTCTTCTTTGGTAGGGAATGTGAAACCCTCGGAGTGTAGTTCTGATATGAAATACAAGGTTTCTTTAAAATTATCTTTAATATCTGCTTAGGTGGCTTACGAAACTATTATTTGTTGAAAAAACATCAGCACGGACGTCAATTTGGAGGAAGAGCTTGGCGGAAACTATTTTTAGTGGTCTTCAAGCAATATAGGGTGATTCGATTAAGAAATGAAGAGACTAACTACAAGGCTAAGGGTGCTGTCGATTCTCGATTTACGAGCAGTTTTTGACAATTGTGAAGTAAAAAACTCATCGCACTCTTGGAATTACACTCCACTAGTACCTCATCACATGAGTCTTGTTAAACGGTACAAGAACATAATCAATGGAATATGAGGAACAGATTCTTCAATGGAATGACCGCCATTCGATAGGCCTAGATTTCTGACATCGAAAAAAATACGGTCTTCATAAAAATTTACCAAACATTCGAAGGCGGCTTAGCCTGAACTGTAGGTATCTCCATTTGTTGGAAAAATATCGAAGAGGGGGAGAAAGAGAGGGAAGCAGCTCAGCCGAAAATAACTTCAATAGCAATAAAGAGCTACGGAGAGAAGAAGATAAGAATTTTTGACGCTATTGATATATAGTCATTGTTATGGGAACTACACACCTTTGGAGCCAAGCTGATGAACTAAAAATTGTGACGGAGAATTTGATACATTTCACAATAAAAGGAAAGAAATAGTAAACCACTTCCATCCCATAGCGCACAGCCACAAATCACCAACTGTGCGCCCACAAGCACCAAGCACGTTCAAAAAATCCACCACTTCTTAGCCAAACACACAAACTGGTGGCAGCGCTACACTATCATCACGTTAAACGAGTCGTTTCATCGGTTCGCTTGTTTACCAAATCAGTCGTTTGAGAAACGTTGCCGCAGTAAATACGTTCAAATTGTGTGGCGGTTGATTTTATTTGATTTCTCGCAAAAGTGAAAATGCGCGTGTGTTCGTTTAGTGCTGGCGAGCCGTAAGATACACGAGAACTTGCGCTAACTTTTTCGGTACGTCTTGGTTTAAGTTTAAACGGATTTGCGCTAACGTCTACGGCGGACGATACGAGTAGCACCATCGCCTGCCGGATTGTTGGGACGGCGACGAAGCATCCGAAAATTTTCGAATTGGCTCAGCGGGTTTTTTTACTTTTGGCAAAAATATCTTTCTTTTTTTGCCATTAACTTTTGGCGTAAACTTTTTTTGTTTCATTTTACTTTATAAGAGTTTATACGAGACGACGAGTGTTGTTTGGAGTCGCCGGAATCGTTGTTGACGACGTTATTGTCTTTTGTTGTGAATTGTTGCTACTTACGGTGCAAACGTAGATACGTACATATGTACATAAATACATATATAAGTTGTGCAGTTTTTGTGTATATATATATTTTTTAATATTTGTTGCCGTTCATGCTAAACTTGATTTTTAAGCTGAGCTTGCAAAAATAAAGAAAAGTAAAAATAAAAAAAAAAATTTTAAAAAATAAAAATTGAAGAAAAATATGAAACCATAATGCTTTTACTGACGAATTCCATTTAGAAAAATAATAAAAAAAATAAACGAGCGCAAAAACAAGTCTGTTCTCTGTTTTGTACGTCGTTAGCAGCGGTTTTATGATTATGAGCTGTGAAATTGTGTAGTGACAAAGATGGAATAAAGTATGTCTATACATATACATATACATACATACATACATACATACATATATACAACAAGCAAAGTAATAACAAAATTTTTTAATTAACAAGATTTATGAATTGTTTGAAGTGAAGGCGCCTACTTTCCGATAGATAAGTTTATGCTATTGTCGACAACTGCACAACAACTACCACAAAAAGAAAAACAACAACAAAAGTTGCAAATAAAAATCTGTGTTAAAGTGTCATACTAAAATAATCGAGTTTTATTTACTTATATTGTCCTGGATTAAATATACTTAAATAACTCGATTTTTAGCGCGCAGAAAAAGTGAGCTCAAAACAAAAAGAAAAAAAAAACTAAACAAAAAACGTCAAAAACGTACAAGCGAGTTTTTTAAAAATCCCTAAAACGCAAACAAAGTGCAAATATTATGACTTCATAATTTTCCAATTATTATTTTACACAATAAATTTTTAACGAAAATTTCACTTTTCTACGCCAAAAAAATGTTGGATAACAGTTACATGCAGGACTACGATGTCCCACGTCCACAAGCCATTAAAATTCAAAAGGTTTGTATGCCTACTAAATATAAATACTAAATGGCATAAGCGCAAATTAGTTAGAGTTATACATGAAGATAGATTTACATACACTCATACATACATACATATACTACATCTGTTGCCAACAGACAATTAAAAATTAAATAGAAATTAAAACAAAAATAAATAAAATTGCATGTGTCAAAGTAAAATGTCAATTATGAAATGAGTTAGAAAAAAAATATAAAAAAATAAAGTTTTTTTTTATTACTTCGAATAATTACATTTGTACATGGTACATAAAAAGTTTACACTTTTATACCCATTACGACATCAGTGAATGTGGTTGTAGTTAGTTATTATTTTTTTAATTTGTGAAATACTTTAATGTTACTGTTGTAATATGTGTTTTCTTTTTGTAGTGCTGAAAAGTAAACTAAACAAAAAAAATTAAAAATAAAAAAAATTAATAAAATTAAAAAGTTATAAAATAAAAAAAATAAAAAAAAAATAAGAAACTAAAAAAAATGAAAATAATATAAAAAATGAAAAAAGTAGAATAAAATAAAAAACTGAAAAAATTAAAGTTAAATAAAAGACTAAAAATTATAAATTAAAATAAAAACTAAAAAATTATAAATTAATATAAAAACTGAAAAAATTTAAATTAAATATAAAACTAAAAAATAAAAACAAAATATAAACATTACAATAAAATAAAAAAATTAAAATAAAATAAAAAAATTAAATTGTAATTAATAAAAAACTTAATAAATTAAATTAAAACTAAAAAAAGAAAACAAAAAAGCCTCAAACAAAAAAAAAAAACTAAAAAAAAATTAATCTAAAAAAAATAGTAAAGTAATAATAGAAGAAATCTTAAAAATGAATAAAATAATAAAAAAAATATATCTTTAAACTGCATTTTTTATTAATCTCAAAAAAATATTTTGAAGCAAATGACTAACATCAGCTCTGCAATTCTTAATCAAGTTCTAAGTTTATGATTGTGATAATAACGTCTTGGATCAAAAAAAGTTGTTAAGCAGTTTAAAATTAAGCATTTTTGAATATGATTTGAGAAAATTATTTATTTAAAAATATCCATTTATATATTATTTTATTTATGGAAATAGTGAAGAAATTACAACAATACTTTTGGATGGTAGAAGTTATAGCTGCTATTTCGGAAACCACCACGTTTCCTCATCAGACTTCTTTTTCCAGACACCTTTGTTCGAACAGGATTCGAGCTTGAGGTGCCCACAGCATGAGCCAATGGTTATCACATTAAGCTACATGCGAGCTGCTTTTACTTAATAACATTGGAATAATACCGATTGAATGCTACTTGTTACAGCAATCTAGGTAATAAAGGGCCGACTACACTCTTCCAGGGCGTTAATTGTCTCAGGCTTATCCGCATAGACCAGCCACTTTACATTCACGCCACAGGCTCAGTAAGAAATCATAATGCTCTTACCAAAAGTTTCGTTCAATAAATTGATTATATGACCGACTATATGACATGTTAGAACCACCGTCCGCCTACATCAACACTCTTTAATTCTGATACGAAAAAGTTATTAATCATGACACTACAGCGCTCCTTAGAGCAACACCCAACAGCGACTTTTTGAAACTGTAAGGGCGGAGAAGAAGAATGGAGTCAAATCTCAGTGGCAAGTCGATCAGCGACGTCCTGTTGAAACCAGTCATCATCCATGTCATTCTCTTCAATTTTTAGAAACAAATAATCTCTGAACATGGTACGGTATTCACGTTAACGGCAGGTTATTTCTAGTTTTCAGAAAAAAAATCTGAATCACACACATTGACTCTTCCGTGTTTACTGTGGTTTTTCAGAGGCCCGAAAGCGGAAATTTAGTTTAACCTTAAACTTAATCATTTTGCAAACTGCAAACCTCTGCTGAGTATTTGGCAACCCGGAAACGTCTTTGAATTGTATTGAAGCTCAAATAAGCCGTAGCTCAAAAATCAAAGTCCTCTAAAAAAAGTTCCCGGTTCGAGGAATCAGTGAGAGAGAGGATTCCAATTAGCTAGTACCGCATTGAGCCGTCTTACATCAAAATTTCGTGTTTGGTCTCGGTATGTCTCTAAGCGCGTTCCAAAGAGGCAGTACTGTATGCCATAATACCTACGGTAGTATTTGCAAAGGCAAAAGACTTAAAGACTTGATGAACTCCGACGGTCCCTGTGACTTCTAAAGCTATATTACATTCATTGTTGACGCCCATATCGATACTAATATGTGATTGTCCCATCAAGCAGAGTTTAACAAAGTTACGTTGCTTTTTTTTTGCTTACTAAGAGCGCCGCACTTCTACAGCTGGGTTTTATTATTTCATTACACCCATTTTGGTGCAAACATATTAACGTCCGTTCGAGCTGAGATCAGCGCCATTTACCTGGTATGTTGTCAAAAAAATTAGTTATTCAAGCCACTATGTTTTTCTTTTGGATCATTATCTGGTTAGGGAACTATTGGCGCTCTGTAGCCGCTGATACTTTTCGAACAAATTGAGGAACCCGTAGTTAATGCTAAGCAACCTCCGAATGACTGATGGATTTTTCAGCAGAGTTTTTTATTTAATATCAGAAATTCACTCGGAGGACTTAATATTCCCTGCCGAGGAGGGACCGCAATTACGAAATTTAAATTCATTTTAATTTTAAATTAATTTTCTATAACTGTAGGAGGTTTGTACCAGTGCCTCCTCTTATGTTAAGGGTTTTGGGATTCAATACTGATCAGGATAATATCTAAAATAATAAAAGTAATATATTTTTGAAATACGGTTGCCCTTCTTTACCACCGAGTATCTTTTTTGTCTTTCTGAAGGTTATATATTAACGGTAAATGACCCTTAGACCCATATACTTGCAGGTAATGCCCACTACTTATATCTGGCGGTCAGTATTTTATACACTAGCCAAAATTTTGTGGTCACAGTAGAACTCACAGTTTGTGTATGTGTCCCAATAGGTCAAATCTACGTACCCGAGTTGCTATTTTTGTTTACTCTATCTTCGATACTTTCTTCTGTGCATCTTCTAGTAGTTTTCCTTCTTATTCTCGGTCAAATTGTACTTTTAGACCGTGAACTGGGTTGGAATTGTAAATACTGGGACAGCTTTTAGATGGTGGTAGAAGGCCAAGCTAGAGGTCTAAAATTTGATAAATTCCTTCTCGTAGTGCTTCGATGAGCTCCTTACGCCCCATGAGCAGGCTTGTGTGCAGTCTCCACAACTGCTACTGAATAATTTTATTTTTTCCCCATTTTCCGTGCGATATACTCGTTTGTATGTAAATCACCAACTATCGCGAGCAATTGAAGTCATTGACGGTATAACAGCGGTAATCGCGGGCATAAAGTTGTTGGCATTTAAATACGGATTATGGCAGTTTTAATTACGCTTTACAACTAATGTTGAAATGTTGTTTTCAGTTGTCTATTTAATTGTTGGCAATTTGCATGGCAACATTTTTATAAAGGGAACCCGCAGCGGATTGCAGTTTGGTGTTTGACACAGCAGCAGCACTGAGCCGATTAATTAATTGTTGTTATTGCATTGCAGAGTTATTCGTTGTTTTTGCAATTTGTTTTTGTTTTTTTTTTTTATTTGTTTAGATCAAAACCGCGATTAAGCAATTGACAACATATTATTGGCGGCATATGACAACACTGCATGCATATATACTTACAAACCACTGGGCGACCGCGTCGCAGACCGAACGAACGTTTGACGACTGAAGCCATCAGTGCATTCAAAGCAATTGAGCTGTACTGCAAGTATATACATATATATATATATGTATGTATGTGTATGTGTGTTTATATCTTATATGACATACACTTCATTGAGCAGCCTTTGGCAGTTGTTGATGCCATTTGCAACGCTCTTATTGTTGCTGTTACTTTTGCTATAACTGCTGCCATTGCCGCTGTTGTCATTCATCGTCGTCGTCGTCGCTGTTGTTCTTATCGCTCAGTCTAAATCGTCAGCAACGTTTGCCATTGCTGCTCCTTCTGCTGCTTTCTGTCATATTTTGTGCACTCACACGTTGCCTTGCGTTGCACTCGCGTTTTCTAGTCTAGTCACGGCGCCAAGAATTGTTGCTTCAATGCCGTTTGCTGGCGGTGGCGGTGGCGGTGGCTGCCAACAATTGCAGCTTTGCTTACAATATTGTACCTATGTATGTATGCACATACATACACACTTGGTATCTGAGGCATAATTGCGGCATCGCGGCTGATCGCTCGATCAATGCGCTCGCTGGCTTGCTGGCTAAGTGATCTATAAACATTTATGCAGGCATCCATATATCCATAAATCCATAAACAGACACAAATACATACGTACGTATGCATGTATGTATGTGTATGTGACACTAAGCAGCTAGTAATCGGACATGTGAATCGTAGCGTTGAAATTTAGCGAAATTACGCCGCCGCATTGTAGCCGCTGGGAAAACATTTTTTTAATATTTGTTATTTATATTTATTATTTTTTTATTTTAATAGAATAATGGCAACTAATTGAAAAACGCTTGCATAAAAATATGGTTCACAAAACGCGCCATTTAAGGGTTTTTTTTGTATGATATATGGATTATGCGCATTTTTATGCAAATTTGCATTTGGCATTGATTTTCCAAAACAAAAACAAAATCTATAATTCCAAAATCATACATAAGCATGCATATATGGAGTGAATAAAGTTCATATTGAATTTAATTAAATTATTTATGCGCCTCTGCAGCGTGTATTAATAATAAAAAAAGGAGCGACTCAAGACAGTAGACTCCTTTAGAACCCGAAAAAAACGTTTTTTTTTAGCAATTTTTTTGAAAGGGAAGGAAATTCTGGCGGTAAACGAAGTTTTCAGACAATAATGTACTATATTTCAGTTTCAAAATCCAATTTTTAATATCAAAAAGTATTAGAATTTTTCCATGTTGTGATGAGTTTGCTGAAGCACCTGCAATCTGAGGTCTGAAACAG